TTCTAAGTGAAATAGATAAGTTAAATGTATTACAAAAATGAAATGATTCTCAGTGTTAGAAACAAAGTCAACAAAAGATACATAGATTTATTATATACTACTGCGTAAAAAGATATAACAAAATCAACTGACATATAACATGAAAATAAATTGTTTCCTCTTATCTCTACTTCTTCTTCTTAATCCCATAAAAGTCTACCGCTGGGCCTCTAGTGTGTAGGTAGGTAATTATAATCCATAATGCTGGGCGTGGGCTTTCTCGTTGTTGGGACGATTTTCCTTAATATTCTAAGTTCCAACTAAGTATATTTGCTATCACTTTGTGACATTTTTATTTTTAAACTACTCGCCACGCGCCCTGACTTCACTTGGCTATCCAATTGATCTATTCATGTAGCATTATTTAGATTTAAGATGATTTTAGTTTTTTTTAATACCTCCAAGTTTATCGAATAAAATATAGCTTGAATCCATCCAGGCATTGGTCTGTATCTGTTGGTAGAGTAACACTGAGAGTAGAATAACACGGACACACAGACGGACATACAAACAGTTTAAAAATGGTTGTTTATATTTTAATTACATGCAAATATTTTATAGAAGCCCGCTTTTCAATATTGCAGACGTACAATTTTATTTATATATATTTAAGTATAGATAAAACAATCAATTGAAAGGAATATTTTTTATTCTTTTTGTTTATTAGTAAAGAATGTGTCACAACCGCCACGTTTGGCTGATGCATTGGCAATCTTACCACCAGATGGCGCTTGCCACACGGTACGTGAAAAAAGTAGTTATATTGCATATGTGTAGAAGCGGCGTAAGAACATCCTTTCGCATTTTATTCCGTGGGTGTAGGAGGGAGAGGTATGCGGTAAAGACCCGAAAAATCTTGTGGCGTTCGAAAGATGTCCATAAACTATGTATATCGTATATAAAAGAAATAATAATTAAAAAAGGAAATATTAAAATAAACTTATTAATTCAAATCAATAAATATTTTATACAATTATAGAGGTTTATAAGCAAAAAATAGATCATGGCTTAAGTTATTTCCTATTTTAGAAGTCTATAAATCAATTGTAATATTTTTGTCAAAACGTTCATAATGTAAATAAAGCATTCATTATTATATATACTGAACACGAATATTTCACTTGAATGATATTAAATGAAATGTTTATTATATATTTTTAAGTTCCGACGGCAAACGCAAAATGCATTTATAATTAATAAAAGAGTATGGAGCTTAAGGCACATTATGTCGTATTTTATCTATGTGTTTATAAGCATTTTTGTATATATATAAATGTAATGGAACTTTATAATTCAATTTTATCTCTATCAGACGTTTGAAGAATCAGACATATTTAGAATTAAGAACCGATGATAAGAGAATAATTTCATGTCTTATGATCTTGTAATCTCATTAGGATCTTCACAATCCATAATCATTATGTGTTTTAAATTTCCTTAATTACTTATTTTATTTAAACTCTAATATTGATTTACTAAATGTGGTGTATTATTTTTATTGTTTATCTGCTTAAATCATTTATAAGATTTATATCGATTGTTTGTAATTAATGTTTTTCATCGTGGGTGACTAATCTAATATATAAAAATTAATTTGTGTTTGTTCGTATTTTATGCGCTGCCATACCGTTCATGAGATTGCAGTAAAACTTTGTCGACATATTGCTTGCACTTGCGCGAAGGTTATAGGCACAGTTGGACCAGATGGTGCTGTTGTCGAAATAGTCAGCAGTCACCTGTGCGAAGATTTGGCAGATCGCTGGTGTATAATAAAATATATGATTTTTTTTGTATAAATACTAATCATGCCGTCACCACACGGTGAAACGATAACCATATTTATTTAAAATGATGAATGATGATTTATGTCCGCATGGTCGATTTGTCCCAGGGCTGCAGCTTCTGGATACTGTCGGAAAGTATCGACTGCATAAAAGATACAACGATGATATTTATTATATACACGATAGAGCCACGCTGCAGTGATATTATAGTTGTAGCGAGAATGAATCGGCTTGACCGGAGAATATAGAATATACATAGAATGTCACATATATATATATAGAATGTCGTAAAATTAAAAGTTTAATGTTGCTGTGCTTATTATGGTGAGTTTAGAAAACCGAAGACCCTTTTTGCTAAAAGCGAGGCATTCCATCTTAGTCCTCAGGGGTAATAACGCACCTGGATTTTGATTCTTAACCGATGATAGATGTAGATGTATAAGGGTCACAGAAAAGACAAGGTATATGATTTAACAATTAAATATAGGTAAGTATACGTGGCCGTGTGACGGCGGTGTATGAGAATCACTCACACCGTTTGGTTCCATAAGTGTCGTAAGAGGGAAATGTCGGAATTATTTATGTCGCTGGTCGCCTATTTTACAAGCTGATGATGATGTTTACATAAGAACAACTTCAAAAATCACTAATAAACAAATAAACAATCCTATTTTATATTTTATGTTATTTAATCTGATTACTACTTATTTTACTCGTATGTAGGAACTTTTTTAGTTTCAGTCTAAGCACATGAGCTGTATGATGTTTATCTTTCGGTCAAGTTCACTTTAGTGATTTTTTTGTGTAATGATTTTGGGTACAAATGTACGTTATGTATATGCAAAATTTAGCAAATCTTTCTTGCAATTGGAAGGAACTATGTTCAGCCGACGAAGAACGTGCGGTTTGTCCGTTCGTTTATGTGGTTTATTTGTTTTTTTTGCCTTCTGTAACATATAGCTTGACATGCAGTATAAAGGCTAGTTTTTTTGGTATAGTTATAATATGAAACTAACAAGAGTATAAAACAGTTTACAGTGCATGCTGATGAACGTATCATTTAATTAATTAATAATGGATCACTGCAGTCAAGTTATTTGTTAACACGCTTTATTATTAACCTGCCTCGTATATATGTATATAGAGATCAACTATGACGTGTATATGTGAACTTCCGGACGTCTGAATGTTTCGAATTTTTGCAGATTTATTAAGAATTGGTGACAATACAATAGTTTCATTTATACTAATAATAATCTATAAATATAAATCTAATATAAATTTGTTTAATCATTTATATATTTATGTAGTCCAACCAGATGAGAAAAGTATATACCTATTAATAATAATTATTTCTTACCCTCTCAGTTTGTCAAATTACACTTATGTATTATATCTATTTATGTATATACTTATGTATTTTTCTATAATAAGTTATTTATTTCGCACAAGAAATATACATACTTTGATGTAGTGTTCAGTTTATTAAACTCTGATTTTATTTCGTAATAGTGATTTCAAGCCTGGTTTTGTGTATTCATTTTAATCCGGAGGATAACTTCTTGTATGCTAATATAATCATTCAATACAGCCTTTCAGCAGTCCACTGCCGAACGTAGACCTGCCTCAAAGACCACAGATTGCTTCGTAGGGTTTTGCAATGCTTACCGCATTTTTTATTGCTTTGAGTTGTCACCAGGGAGATGCCATGTCGTCTCTTAAGATAATATGTACAGAATGAAAGGGAATTTTCTTACGCCGCCATTACACGCAACTATACTTAAAGTGCTACTATTTAGTTGTACCAATATTATAATTGTTTACGTTAGATATTATATTATAACTTGTCTGTGGCGTTTTCTTTTGTTTAGACCACTTTAAGATACAATATGACGGAGGACTTGATTGGGGACTATTATTAATAATTAATTTAAAGAATTTCTGCATGTATACTTTTAGAACACTATCTATTATTATCTATTTATATAAACACTTTTTTTAAAAGGCGGAGCACACTTCTACACACTTACCATCAGGTGGACTGTTAGTTCTTTTGTCACTTCAGTTTTATAAAAGAAAAACATCTGTCGATCCGCCAACCGTCGTGTAAATGGAGATCCGCAATAGGTATATACGCATCTCTGAAGAGCATTATTCGAGACCGATACAACTTAAGGACCTTCAAGAAAACAGCCTACTCCTAAAGGCCGGTAACGAATTGTAATTCCCTTGGTGTTGCAGCTGTTCATGGGCGGTGGTGACCACTTACCATCAGGTGAGCCGTATGCTCGTTTGCCGCCTCTTCTATAAATAAAAAATATATGCCATGTTGAAAAAGGCTGCTATAAAGCGCAAGTAATAAAAATACTATATTACACAACTGTTTAAAAACCAATGACTGCATGATGCATGGCTGATGGCTGATGCGTTTAAAATATACCACACTTACCCGTTACATAAGTTTACCACACTTAACAGGCCACAAGTGAAACATTATTTTTAAATAACAGCAAACATAAAATAATTCATAAAATACGCCTTCTAAAAATGTGCAATGAACAAAAACTCAAAAATATACTCCCATTCATTCATACACTTTCATTAATAATCATAAAATATATTAGAAGATATTTCAACCGGTTAATAGAAACAAAACGATATTATCCATTATATCTAACTTAAATGTTAAAATCATTCAAAACAATGCCAATGAGCGGGACTCCAGCCAACATTCACTAAGTGGCGGAGCGACAAATAAACTCGAGTTGCTCAAGGAAACGCAATTTCCTCGAAGGCAGTAAAGCGACAAAGTGTTCCACAATGGGAATATCATGGCTGCAATTTATTACGATTGATCAACAAGTAGCTGGGGAAGGCTCGGTTGGGCTCAGACCGAGTTGAAGGAGCGACCCGATAAAGGACCCTCCGTACACGCCGAACGCTCCAAAACACACTCAAACATTCGTAATCCCCGTACAATTGTAAAAACGACACGCACACGAATGACACGAGGGAATCCCTCCGGCTAGACGGAATTATCTCGGGCTCTATTTCCGTTTCGCGTACTATTGAGAATGCGTCCCGCTCGCTCGCGTATCGCGGCATTACGCTGTCTCTTTCTCATTCGGTTCATTCATAATGTTGGATTTGAATGGATTCGGAACATGCGTTTCCTAGCCGCAACTCTTCAACAGGCAGCACTCCACACTCCACAGTCAGATTTGACAACGACGGCACGCGCCGCGACAGTCACTTCGTTTATAGGATGATAAGTGTTCCGCACAGTAAAACAATTAGTAGAAAAAGCGAACGTCAACAGCATAATAAGCGTGATCAATTAAAATTCGCTTCCGTGCCAGTTATTGAATGGCCGATAGAAAACATCGCATGGCGTGCAGTCGGCGCGTTGTAACGTCTTATAATTGTGATTCACCATGTGTTGAGCTCTAATCATGTTTAATTATACCCGCTGAAGGAGTCATTGCCGTTTATCATGAGATGAACTGTTACAAACATACAAACACTGCGGGAATACGATCAGATGACGGTCCACTTTTATAAGTACGGTCAGCAAACGTGGTAATAAATGTAAATTTAATTTATCAGATCGATAAATACATTAAATACTTTCTTAGATTTTAATATTTTTCATTATCGTTACAGTTATACTACTATTTTAGGTCATAAAGCTTTCGTAAGCTGGAAAGATTCACCACTCTTTGCAGGTGAACTACGCTTCACGCTTTTTCCGTAATCGGTCTAGATATTTACTAGGATAGGACATAGAAATTTCCTAACAGCTTCTACAATTACATTTTATAATACTCAAAAACATCGAGGCGTTGGAATACTTACCGTTGCCATGCCGCATGGTGGATATGTTTAAACAGATAAATATAATACACTTGTATAATTTTTCGTCTAACTGTACACAGATAGCTGCACATGCAGTTATTAATCTAGTGCAGATCTTTATCAAAACAATAGTAGACGGGATGCGGTACAAATACGTTTTTGTTCGACTCGCTCCACTCGCCGTTGTGTGAATAAGCCTCCCTTATCTATTAATTACCTGAAAGATAATTAGTTAGCTGTTCTAATTAATAGGAATAATTAGTGCCATTGATAAAAGATCTTTCACGATGATTGACATTCAATAGTGAACAGAATATAAAGAGAAAGTTGTTTTAAAGTATCTGTAGAATAGGTAACGTAGATTAAAAGAAAAGAATTAAGAGAGAAAAAGGAATAATCGTGTATTTTTCCAAAACGTAAATATAAAACGTAATTATTTAAGGTATTTAAATAACAGATTTTTGACCCTTCAATACTTACACTTAATTAAAGTAGCTTCCTTTATTCACGCATGAAATTATCTGCTGAAAGTAGATATTTGAAAGTCTTGGAAACAGCGTGTGTGAATCCTTAACCTTCTTATGTATACGCTGCTACAGTTAAATAAGGAAATAGATTTACAATTGTAAATTAGATACGCAAACTAACAATATGAGGCAATCCTTCGGTTGTAAAGACATATCAAGTTTTTCTCCAAACTTATCTTATCTACACGTGTTTTACCCTGCTGATTTAATGGAGAAGGTTTTGAGGAATATCTGATAACTGGATATTCACCCAAAACATAGGTATAACTCAAATCTCAAGTAATGTTGCAATTTCAGTTAAATAAATACAAGGATCTCGGCTCTGCGTATATCCATATCATGCTTAGCGTAGTGAGTAAGAGACCTCAGAAAGGTCTAAGTCTAATCAGGAATCAGTCTGCAAATTGTAGAATAGAATGTTTATTTGTTAAGTATTAAGTGATTTCTGAATTGTACAACAATGTCACCGACGGGGTCAAACTATGCCTAACCTTTAAGTGCAAGCAATATGTTGACAAAAGTAAAAAAAGTAAAGTTACAGCCTATATATGTCCCACTGCTGGGCACAGGCCTCCTCTCATTTCTGAAAGGGTTTTAGGGCAAGGAATAGTCCGCCGCGCTGCCCCAATGCGTGTTGGCGAACTTCGCACGTCATCGAAATTTTTTTTTCTTATTTCTCAGACATGCAGGTTTCCTCACGATGTTTTCCTTGGTAAATTTCCGTGGTAAATCAGCACTTAAAATAGCAATTAACAATTTCATTGGTGCTGGCGGGGTCGAACCCGGTTTCCTCGCGTATTATGAAATTTACAGCGAGCGCTATCTGAGCTACCACGTCTCTTGACACGGATGTTGACAAAGTTTGACCGCAATCTGATGAACAGTATGGTAGCGCATAAATACGAACGAACAAAATTGATTTTTATATATAATATATTATAATTTAATGATATTAAGTGAAATTGAATAATGTTTAATGTAATATACATATACCGCTGGTCATTGTGTCATATAATCCTGGTAGTGGCGATTATGTCAACCCAGGGAACCGTAGTATGTCCAGAAAAAAAATTAAAGGTTTTTTTCGACCAGTGCTAAAACTGAGAAATCAATCCTTATTATCTTTTAGACGTATGTTTGATGATTAAGAAGTCGCTGAAGAAGAATTTTCCGCTATATGAAATTTAATTCTATTAGCCAAATGACCGACTTTGTTGCAGCACTCAGTTTTGACAACTCGCCACCGACAAGCAGACCATCATATATTTAACATAAACTCGCAACGCTCACAACAAAGCAACGAAATGAGATAAGGGCTACTTAAACCTCGGCCGGAGCCCTCGTTAAACTCTGATATACGGTCCGTAATAAAATACAATAAAACATTCGCAACGACTTAAAAAGAGTTCGATATAAAACTTGGCAACTATCAAACGTACTCCGAAGTTGCAAATTGTGATAGTAAAATAAATTTTATGAGTCAGATTTTGTTGCTTCTATTTTTAATTTCGATCGTGGATTCAACAATGTTTCTTGATTATTATAATTTACTGCCAGTTTAGTATGCGAGTTCCATTTAATTGAAAATTGTGTATTTTTTATGTTTTCTATGCTAAAAATATATTTTTTGTATATTGGTTGAACATTCTATGCGTCAGTTAGTACCTAATTAACTTGGATCTGGTTCTAATCCAAGTCGAATCCAAACCATACTGCCTCTCTAAATATTTCAATTAATTTGATTTTGTTATTTTATTAAAGCTGAAAAGGCGATAATGGGAGAGTGTCTTTGTATTTATTCTGGATCTAAATATAAATCGAAATATATTTATTAAAAAATCTAAAATCTAAAGACTATGTATAGGCTTATGACATCATAGCATGCCTACTTTGGTCTACATCGAAACGTAATCGTTATAGCATAATTTGTAATGCTAAAAATATATTAGCAGCACAAAAATAGCTTAATTTTGCAAACTTCAGGATATTTATAGCCAAAGCGTAATCGTTATTTTAAGTCGAGTGTAACTCCAAAGTCATCTTGGATGTCCATCAGTGATCGGACGCTAGTTTATGGGTTTGTTAATTGCTTTAATAATAATTTATTGGCGTCAAGACATGGGAGGTGTGGGATAAATCAAGTTTTTATTCAATCACGTTATATTATATTTTAAGACGTTATGATTATCATTAAATGCTATCATAGGAATTTAGTTGAAAGCGGATTCTTCCAGAAACTCCCCCAATGAGCGTTCCAGCTGTGGGATAGTGTAACTCTGGTGAGAACCGTGGTTGTGAGCGACCATTGACTTCATGCGCATCTCGCCTTCACTCTTCTTGAACCTACTAGTCGTTTGCAATAAATATAAAATATGATTAAATATATAATAATATCGCGATTATCAAATAATATTTAAAAAAAACTATACCGTATTTTTAGTCTAATCAGTAAGTACTTTTTGTACTAATTTGTTTTATTTGCAGTTAATAATCAGTAGCGCATGTATGGACAGTGAAACTCAGACATACAAAATTAACCATAATATCTTCGTAAATTATAACAATGTAATGGGAAGACGGCGTTAAGCTATAACAGTTTTAACTGCCGAGGCGAACATACCTAGGTGCTAAAATGGACGTAGGTGCTATATTATAGCAAAAACATGTTTAAAAAATCAGCCGACAATTTTGAACGAAACTAGCTACGTACGATTAAACGCCTTTGCCTTTCGATTGAATTTAATTTATGGCACATATAAAAATTTTAACTTTCATAGTGAAAACTTTCAAATAGTAATAATTACAACAGTTAAATTACTTTGTTGCTGCTTTTATGTACAATTTAAAGGTATTTTATTTTTTAACTATTTTATTTATTAGTATTAAATCTGTGTCTTTATAATGTTGCTTAGGGTTTGAACAGTTTTTGTTAAATTTATAATATAGTCAAAGATATTATTTTACGAGGGTGGATTGAAAAGTACTCGACCTAACACAGATCCATTCAATTCTAAAAATCAAATCTACCCACATTATTTAGTTCAGTTCAGACTAGTTCATTGTGTGAGGTTCGAAACGTGTGCGATAATTAGTTGTGATTTTATAAATTTATTAACAAAGTAATCGGACATAATTTCCGCGAATGGAGCAAATAGAGCAGCGTGCCGTCATTAAGTACCTCCATAAGAAGGGGCTATCATCAAAAGCCATCCATGATGACATGGTCAGTACATTAGTGTTACATTAGTGTTTATGATTGTGCTCTGTCATATTCATCCGTCAAAAAATGGATAGCAGAATTTAAGCGTGGTAGAGAGAGTGTGAAAGATGAACCCCGCTCTGGAAGGCCTTCGACGTCAACTACTGACGAAAATATTAAAAGAGTACTTGATTTAATAATGGGAGACCGCAGATTAAAAATTAGAGTGATAGCCGAAATTATAGGCATCTCTTATGAACGAACTCAAAACATCATTGTCAACGAGTTGGGTTTCCACAAGGTGTCTGCGAGGTGGGTTCCGCGACTGCTTTCAGTTGAACAAAAAAGGACGCGATTGACTATTTCACGCGACTGTTTGGAGTTATTTGAAGCCGATGCAGATGATTTTTTGAATCGTTTTGTTACTATGGACGAAACATGGGTTCATTACTGTACACCGGAAACAAAACAACAATCAAAACAGTGGAGAAGACCTGGTTCACCACCCCTAAAAAGGCTAAGTCGATTTTGTCGGCAAATAAGGTGATGGCTTCAGTATTCTGGGACTCGAAAGGTGTGATTATGATTGATTATCTTGAAAGGGGTCAGACTATAAACTCTGATTACTACTGCACCTTACTACGTCGTTTACGAGAGGAAATAAAAGAAAAACGTCGAGGAATGCTCAGAAGAAAAGTCCTGTTTCATCAAGATAACGCCCATGTTCACACGTCAGTACAGTCAATGGCTGAAATTCACAACTGTGGCTTTGAACTGTTACCGCATCCACCGTATTCACCTGATCTGGCATCATCAGACTTCTCTCTGTTC